GTTTTGTACATTTTAACGCAATTTCATTCCCATTTGTGAAAGAAAAGCACAACACTTTTTGAGAAAGTCTGTGACTAAACCATCAAATCTGATAAAGGTTATTTAAATGCTGAGCCACAGCAAAAGAGGAATGGATTGGAATCATAAAAGAAACATATCGCAACTCTAATTTCTGGGGGAAGACAACTCAAGTCACCAAACCACCTGTCACTATCACGGTGGAAGACGAGGAGGAAGAGAGGGGAACAACCAGTCAACCAGCTAAGAAGAAACTCTGGGCTCTCTCCTTGGCAGAGTCGGCCCTGCAGTCACCTAAACGCCAGAGCAAGATGAATGAAGATGTAATTGTGGGTGATGAGCAGCCCCTTACATGGTGGCAGGTGGTATGGAAATATTTCCCCATCCCCGCAACCAGTACACCTTCCGAGCGCATCTTCAGTCAAGCGGGCCAGGTTGTAACTCCGCACCGCAGTTGTCTAAAGCCCGAAAAAGTCAACATGCTGGTTTTCCTTGGAAATAACATGTAGCAATCCTACCAGCACAGCAATAAGAAATAAGAGGGTTTTTCTGTTGGTTTTTTGTTTTAAAAGTTTATTATAGGCTATGCTGCGCTACAACAGTTTTATTTAAATAATCAATAAGCCAAATGTAAAAGCCCAAGCTATAAAAGCAAGATACCTCCTCTAGTGCAGCTTTTTAAGTTTGTTTTATTACATTGTAGCATATTGTTATATCGCTTGTATTGCTACTGTAACCTTATACCTGGCCTACATCCAGAGTTCAATGCTAAAACGAGTTTTATGTTTGAAAATAGAAAATAACCACATTTTATGTTGTAAGCAGTTGGTTTGCTTTGCTGTTGTCCATTTATGTCAGGCAAGCTACCTCAATATGTTTGTTTTATTAATTTGCATTGTCTATAGGCTAAGTTAGGCTATTTCGTGTTTTGGATTAATAAACTTGTGAATTATACGGATTTGATTGCATGTGTGAATTGTTTATGCTCGAATAATTAGGAATAAGGAAATATAGAATGATTTTACTTTTACAATGTCTTATTTGTATGGGGCTTGGGCACATCAGTTTATTTGTTTTTTATTCATTTATGATCAGCATTAATGATTTGGTCTATATTGACGTTAGATTGAATTACTGTGAACAAGATAGATACTGAGGTGTCTGTAGGAACTTAAATGCAATAGGCTAAAAGATATAGTCTATAGCCTAGGCCTACCACCGCATTTTTATATTTTTTGTGTTATAATGACGTTATTTTAATATTTTGCATCACATGCAAAAGTGAGTGTCTCCGGCTTGTCAGTGCAACAGTGTTGGTACCAACACAGCTGCTGTCATTAACTTTTAACCTGCAAAGGCGGCAGTGCCGCAACATTGTAGGAATTTATGAAAGCCCTTGTTAGAGCTATAGTGCGTAACTTCTGTCGCCTCCCAGCGGATAATGCGTTATTGCAACTAATAAGCTGGCGGCACTTCCATGTACACAGAGTAACACTCACCAGTCGCCACACACCGTACACAGAGTAACACTCGCCACACACTCGCCACACACTGTGTACACAGAGTAACACTCGCCAGTCGCCACACACCGTACACAGAGTAACACTCGCTACACACCGTGTACACAGAGTAACTACTCATAATATAATTATAAACCAAGTCACTTACTTATCCAACAGCAGCAAGGCAACATCCGTGTCTGCCCTCAGCCCAATTTCTTCCTTCAGGGCTCTCCACTGAGGAAAAGCGACGCCAATACAAATCCCTGTTTGCCGTCGGTCACTTTCCTTCTTTGCTTAGACCTACAGCCGAACGTCCAGGCTTTTTCTTTGTGGTAGGATCCACTTCTGAATCGTGTCTCGGCCGCTTTTCCACCATATTGCTTTCTCTTTCTACCTGTGCTCTACCTCTTGCTATGACACTCTCCGCTCTTCCTCCCCCTCCCTTCTTGTTGTGAGGAAGCATTTCCTGTGCGCCAGTGCGGGAATGTCGCCGGTCGACACGCAAACTAAAAATGATATATATTGAAAAATACCGCGAGATGTTAGAGGAGCCGATCAGCTTAATCAGCATTGTGTCATCTCCTCTAGTAGTGGCTTGGGTGAAACTTACATTTACGGACCTGTAGAAGTTACGCACTATAGCTTTAACATTTCAATAGTTACACATTAAAACAATATTTATTTGCAATTACTCTATTGAACGACTCCGAAGCATGAGCAAACGGGCTGTGTCACTTCAGATCAAAGAGATGCACCCTGTCACTGTCAGTGCAGGGCTCTTCGCTCTCTCTCTTCTCAGCAGGGGGTGCCCTGTCAGCCCTGTCAGAAAGGAGAGGAGAGGAGAGGAGAGGAGATGGATTGTAGGTCTGTTTGTAAACGGGGCTTCTCTGACAGTCATGTATTTCCCCAAAAAAATCTCTTAATGCACGGTAGAGTGCCGTTTTGTTTTTGTTGTTGTTGTTTTTTTCAAATCGCCTTGA